TGATGCAAGTCGAAGACGTTTCCCACTCTGATGAAAATCAAGACGACAGGTATTCTGCTGCCAAACCAAGAAACATAACCTGGACAATTCTGTGACTAGAACCCACAATCATAGTATTCTGGCATGTATTATGGACACGACTCTGCACAACTAATTGCATGCCTTGGATGACTGGGTCTAGTCTGCCACACAGACCCTGAAACAATTATAACCAAAAGAGTCTCTCCTTTTTATTATATTTTTATAACTATAATTTAACAACTGTTTTGGTCTGTAAAATATGTTCATTTCAGAGACAAGGTGTTTGTCTAGACTGGGCCATATGTGCTTCTGGAACCCCTAAAAACTTTTGAGAATCTGAGCTACTAGTCAAAGTATACCCTTACTTTAAAGAAGGTGTCCTGAGGTTATAATGTGTTGTTTTTTGGTTGGATCACATGTAACGGGTCTCCATATCTACAGCTTTCCATATGCCTGTATCTGATGATCTGTTGTTGAACTTCTTTTCTTGGCCAATGACCTTCGCATCATAATCATTTCTATCAGCACAGAGAAAATGTAAATGGTTAGTTTGTAAACGATGAAGGCGTAACAGTATGGTTCTTTACGATAATAATATTATTATTATTGTGTTGTCATTTAGTTCTGTCTGCACCAAGTAGTCATGACTGTATGGCAGCAATATGGTAAGCTAATTTGAATCCTGCAATAAAATGTGGGACAAAAAGAAAACATGCCTTATTTTGAAAGGCAGTTATTCTCATTGTGGCTTAGCATATAAGTTTTGAAGATATCAGCTTAAAGACTGTATGCATGTAACTTCTTGAAAATAATGATATGAATATTCCTTTTACAGCCAGACTCTAAACAGAATTTTGCGCAGTTGTTGTGATAGAGCACACAGTACAAAACAGTGTTGCTCGTTATAACAATTTGTCAAATACTGCTTCTTGCAACTACCGTACTTGAATATGTTTTTGTTTTGTAAGCTGCATCATAGGCTTGCTACAACATTATCAACGAGAAAGGTCAGTGTTAGTGATACTCATAGGTTATCTGTAACAAGCGGACATTAAAAAAGTTAAAACATAACCGTGCCATATACAATCACATCTAAATTTCACAGATTTACAAATTATTTCACAAACTATTATTAAATCTTCTTTTGTGTTCATTCCCATAGGGAATTCAAATAATTCCAGTAAGTAAAATTATTTTTTTCTGCTACAACATTAACAATATGAGCTAATGACCTTGCTTAAATTTACACTAAGGTTCTCACACCCTTCATAGAGCCAGTTCCTCCTTGGAATTCAAGTATCAACAACCTCCTGAGCAGTTAGAGATCTGAACAGACAACTATTCAGTAGTAATTAGGGAATCATCTGGTGACATGTTTATGGCTAGCATGTAGAGTCAGTGCTAGCAGTAGCTTGCCTGTATTCAGTTGTTTGAGCCCTCAACAGACCAATGAACCCTTCAGTATAAACTATCAATTTCCACTTTCCCCAGTTTGGCTTTAGCAAGTCTAGAAATAGACAAATACACACTTCCAAGGAAGGTGGTAATACATCAATCTATACAGATGTTCACAGGTCATAATCAACCTAGGACATTTTATACACAATATCATTATACAATCTACACTTAATGGAATGTTAAGATTTCTTCTTGGCTGATGATAGTAAATCACATTTCAAACTTGTGAGCAGAACCTGAGTGCTATTGGTCAATATTTATAATTTTAAGAGATTTTTGACTATATTATTACTCATCTTGCCTTGACCAGAAATGGGATAACACCTTTAAACTCTACACTTAAGGTAATCTTAATATTTTCTTTTGGCTGATGATAGTAAATTACATTTCAAACTTGTGAGCAGAACCTGAGTGCTATTGGTCAATATTTCTAATTTTAAGAGATTTTTTTACTATATATTATTACTCATATCCCCCTCAACTGGAAATGGGATAAGACCCATAAAATCTACACTTAATGGAATCTTAATATTTCTTCTTGGCTGATGATAGTAAATCACATTTCTAGCTTGTGAGCAGAATCTGAATGCTATGGGTTAATATTTCTAATTTTAAGAGAATTTTTACTATTTTATTACTTATATCCCCTCGACCAGAAATGGGATAACGCCTTTAAAATCTACAATTAATGGAATCTTGAGATTTCTTCTTGGCTGATGATAGAAAATAACATTTCAAACCTGTGAGCAAAGCCTGAACACTGAGTCAAGATTTCTAATTTTAAGAGATTGTTTTACTATATTATTATTCACATCACCTTGACCAGAAATGGGATAATACCTTTAAAATCTACAATTAATGAAATCTTAAGATTTCATCTTGGCTGATCATAGTATATAACATTTCAAACTTGTGAGCAGAATCTGAATGCTATGGGTCAATATTGCTAATGTTAAGAGATTGTTGACTATATTATTACTCACATCCCCTCGACCAGAAGTGGCATAAATGTAATGCTTTCAAGAATGAAAGGAATCTTGAGAGTTTTGTTTCCTGAACATTGTCATTCACATTTACAACCTTTGAGAAACATGTACTTTGACAATAAGCTTTGCATATGAAACTACATAGTTTTAAAAAAAGCTTCGTCCCCTTCACAGCTGTAATAGGCTAACTGATCATCATGGAGGGACTGACTGCACAATGTATGACATTGTGCTAGGTCTGTACCTGCCTTGATAGAAACCACAGAAAAAAATTAAAAAGTAAAGTTATAATGACTTACCTACACATTCTCGTCTTTCAAGGAAATATTTTCTTAGAAACTTCAGCCACTTGGCCTTCAACAGCAAGGACCAGACGACCATTTTGATCAAGTTGTGAAGGGAGGATAACTCTTACTGTTGCTTTGTCTTGCAAATATTAATGTCAATGATGACAGAGCATGAGATGACAAGTTCAGTTCTCTATTAGTAATGGGTTTATTAAATATATGTTATCTGTCTTAAGTTGGTAATTTTGAAACCTTTCTAAATATTTCAATCATATTAAATAATATCATTTAGATTCCATATGGTCTCCCCAGAAATATGAGGACATTTTGCTGGCAAAACGGTTATGAAAGCTTCAACGTATATATCTCAATAAGCTACCAGGAATGGTTCAATGAGTTTCCCAGTTATTTTAATGCTGACCAGGAGGAGATTTTGTCATACCGGGTATTACATATGGTATATTTTATTTTAAAACAATGAGAAAAAGAATAGGGTTGATGGGTGAATCAAAGGAACATTAAAGAAATCTTTTCAAACAAGAGAAATCTTTTTCAACAATTTCTACTCTAATATTTCTATACGTAATTAGTTTCTATTATTTTTTAAGTTGGACTTCTAAGATGAAGCACAAACTCTCTCACATCCTGCATCTGCTATGCGTGGAAGCAGTTACATGCACCTCCGCCATTGATATAAAAAAATAGTTGCTTTTATTATCATGTACACAATAATCAAATAGAGTGATTTTGAATAATTGTTACCACTAAAATCTAACATGATAATGATAGTAATATTTACAAAAAATGTCCTATGGAACTTGAGAATACAAACAAAAATACACGCATCAGTTGCCAGAGGGCTATGAGGTGTTGGGGCTTAGAAATCCCTTGAATAGTACAAATATAACTGTACCCCTTTCAACTCTGACATGTTGAGTATTCATTGTTATTTGTTTAATGACACACTTAGTAATATTCAAAATAATTAATATTATTATATTGATGTACATACCCTCCCACATATATTTTGTGAACATCATGGCCTATTGTACAATGTCATGAGTATTTATTCCTAGACATTTACCTGCTGTGTTACTGTGTATGAGAAGAAATGTCCAACTCTCATAACTCTTGAAAAATAGCATAACACAAACATCCTAGGAACTTGAATTATTACGTTGTATCCCCACCAATGAGTGGCATAACATCTTTAAAATACATAAATTAGAGAATAATTTTATTTTCATTTGGCTTTTGCTATTTTGTAGGAAAACACTGTGTTCAGAAGTGGCCAAGATAGCTATTTAACAGAAAATTTACTCTGTTATTAAACATGTCACCACCTCACAAAGGTTATGATATGATAGACAATTAAATAATACATTTGGGAGTTTTATCATGGTTAGAAATTAAACATGGCAATGGGCAGTAATGACAGATAATAAGCAACACGACCATTGTTATAGGAATTGCATTTTTTCATGAGCGATATGCATAAAAAGAAGAAATTGTATTCCGCTTTAGTTCCGCATTACCACTTTTTGCTATATTTAGCTGCAAATGTCGGATATCGAGTCAGTAGCATCGCCAGGTGCCGTTTTGCTGAGGTGCCGTTTTAGCTATATAACCCGTTTGGTGTGACGGGGGGTAACAAATGGCCTGGCGGGGCCCCGTGTCGGAAAGCGCACGTAAAATCCCCCCCCCCCCCCCCCCCCCCCTCAACTACATTCAGACAAAATAACAAATGCCTTTGCATTTAGCTTCTCCTTGCCTTTCCATCGGTCCGCTAACTACCCTTTATCACAGGGGAGCTATTCTAACCCTAGTCATTGAGATGCCACGTCTGCCTGTACTGGTCAGCTGCTTATGTGATGCAAATGCATATATATGTACAAATAGCGACAAAATGAAACAAGGTAACAATTTGCACATATTTCGGTAAAATCTAGATCTAACTGTTTTAAATTGGGGACAGAAGCACAAATATTAAAAATGATCCGGCTCGGCAAGTGTCCACACTAAATTGTTTTGCAATTTATATTTCCACTTGGCAAAATTTGTGAAGTGTCCTGGCTGCGTCTTAGTTAGACACTAAGTTTCAGAGTAGTTTCTCCAGATTCCAGCTGATTGAACTAATTCTGAATCGATTGCCGATTGACAAGGGCAACGCCATGGTTATTTATAAACACTGAAAGTTAGAGCAGTCATCTTGCCCCCACCCCAGGGTTTTGGTTTATATGCTGGCCTCGTCCGGTTTCGACAGCAGATTCTCCGGTTTTTAAACTCTCTGGCACTAACTCATTGTTGCGCTAGCTCCTCATAGAACGCCATGCCAATGAGCGTTGAGGATAGGCCCAAGTATGTGCGAATGCGGAAGGGTGAGGAGTCAGAAGGTACATGCCAAGTATGGAAGCAGGGTTCAAAAAGGGGAATTGCTCTTGACAGTGTGTGCTGGGGGCACTCGTCACCTTCCATGTGCCTCTGCCGAGTACAGACACCGCCCACACCTTAAAGAAAAGACATAAACAGGTAGGTTTACGTGTTGTGAGTGTTTGAGATATCAGATAAGCCAGCAAAATGCAACTTTCGTAACCAGATGCACACTCATGCCAGTCATGGAGCACACTGGTGCCTCGGGACGACGTACGCTGCTTCCATACACTGTCGGTGATGGTGCAAAGATGGAAATAACTTGTTGTCAGTGTGTCCGCCGACCGGTGTTTCATTTGCTGACTCACGTTCTTTGCATTGTGTGATAGCTGAAGATGGGCGGCCTACTCACCCCTATGTACATCAGAATCAAGCCTTGAAATCTTTGAGTTTGGGAAAGGTAAGTTTTGTCAAACTTAGTGGCTAATAAATCACTCAGCATCCCTCCAAGAAGAAACAGTACATTAATGGAAACAACATATATATGGATGGGTCTTTTCTTTGCAAATTCAAAATTGCTTATTATGGACTATAATTTTGACAGTATCGACTTATGTTCGGCCCTTTTCTCTCTTAGCTGCGCGAAGGGAAACCTATCAGAGGTTCGAAGAAGGAGAAGCCGTTTAACTTAACAAAGGTACACAATAATTAAAGAGCTGTAGCCAAAATTACATGTGTTTTGTTACAGAAAATTCCGGTAAACGAACAAGTGATAACAAACTTGATTCTTAAAAATGTGAAATTCAGATAAATTATCACTTAACATGATGATTTACCATTTAGATTATATTTTCTGTTCTGCTAGGCATTGTTTTATATGCAGAAATAAAGATTACTGTGTGGGTTTTCTTGTAAACTAAGCCAGAAATAGCAATCAGCTGTATGCAAAGAATTCAAAGAATTTTGATGCAATCATCGGATGAATAGTATCTTGCACTTTGGAACAACTGATTGCTATTGCCCAATCTCATTAAAATCAGATCTTAGTTCTCGCTACTGCTAAACAAAGATCTGAGGACATCCCATTACGGGTCACGTCAGAACGACCTTTCATCCAACCAATCAGAGCGTCGCTTACTAGATCCTGAAAGTGACAGTCGGAATGTGTTTTCTGATCATGCAACCTCGAAATATGTAACAGAGGGTATTCCGAACAACAGTTACGGGTTTTATGATTATATCCATACAATCTAGGCCATCTATAAGTCATTCCAGAATGTTGTTTTGGTCAGTTTTAAATGTTTTAATCGAGAATACGTCAAAATATATTTCAAAGCGTAGTCGCCAGTTTGAAACTAGTGCCGTAAAGCTCGAGATAGCTGCCTTCTGATTGGCAAATGTCGATTTCTTGTCAGTCATTTCATTGGTCGGTCAATGTTCGCGAAAGATCGTTCTGACTTGACCCATAATGGGATGTCCTCAGATCTTTGGTTAGCGGTAGCGAAAACTAAGATCTGATTTTAATGAGATTGGCTATTGCTGGATATGTTTTACATTTGGAACAATTTCATCAGTAACTGTTGAAGCTTCCCACCTTTTTGCTACCGCAAATAAAGGGAAACAAAATGCAAGTATCCTAATTACAACCGACAAAAGTTATGTGTATAATATCAGTCAGTTACCTTGTTGAGGAATGTATCCACAGATATCCACATAAAGGAACAATATCCTGTGCTGGTGGGTATCATCAAAGTGGTAAAAAAGTTTAAGACCTGCATGACTTTAGGCTTTCCTCCCTAATCAAGCAGACATGCCATGATATAGGTGGAATACTGTTCAAAGCAGCGTTAAACCTATCTGACTCACACAGTCATATTTTGGTCAATTGGTGACCTCCCTTCGATAAACACTATTATTGTCACTGTTGTTCATGCCCCATTAGTTGCTGTGGAGTCTGTAAGAGAAATTGCTGCTTTGAATAGTGCAGGCTGTCAAGAGCTACATGATGAACGAACAGGAAAAAACAAACTTGGTCAATGACAATGCGAATTTTGCGATAAACTCTTTGGCTAGACATTTTTTCATATGCTGAGATTAAGATTATTGCGTGTAATTGTCTAGTAATAATAAGATAGGAATAGCAATCAGCTGTACAAATTTTCTCACATGATCCACCAGTGATTGAGTTAAATAATATCCAGTATAATGTATGTGGAACATTTAAATTGCTGGAAGTATCTGTCTTCATCAGCTGATGATTGTCAGCTTCAATTCTTAAGAGGGCCATCTTCCCGAAGCAAGAGAGTTAACTGACTTTAAAAGTCCAAATTTCCACCCTTGCCGAACTAGGCTGGAATTCCTGGGCTTGATCGTAGCGCCACCAGTGGCTATTACGAGTAATGTCCTTTCTATGCCTCTCCTATTGACCAATCAGATTCAACCTCTCGTATCACTTGCATTTGCTTCAAACAAATCGGTGGCGCCCAGTCAAGACGATCTGATCGATAATCAAGATCTATATTGTGATCAAACAAGTCTTACATCAAGAAGTGCATCAAATCACGTGAGCACCTCGATTAAAAACATGAAAAGATATAGAAAATATCTGTTGACAATGAGTTGGCGGTACACATGCTTTGCAAATCCTGCAGTCGACCGAAATCTGCATGACACTTTACGAACCGAATTTCGATTTCGGTGCGCGATTATGATTGGACTATGCATAGACCACTCAAAATGTAACTCCATAATACCAGCCTAGTTCGGCAAGGGTGGAAACTGGACTTTTATAGTCAGTTAACTCACTTGCCTCGGGAAGATGTAAGGGGGCATGAGTGACCCAGTCACGGGTGGCCAATTCGCTGTGCAGAGTTGCGTCCCTTGGGCACGCCATAAATCTATGATTGTGGGTTTGAATCCAGGTTCGCCCCGATTATGTTTCTAGGTTTGTCAGCACCATACCCGTGCTCGTTGGTTTCACCGAAGTGGTAAACGTCTGAGACCTGCATCACTTCGTGCTTTCCTCCCACATTAAGCTGACATGCCATGATGTAACTGAAATACTATTAAAAGCGGAGTTAAACCCAACTCACTCACTCACTCAATTCTTAAATATCTGACATTTTTGTTTGTTGTCTATTACACTGCACTAAAAAATATTCCAGCTTTTTGATGATTACACAAATCTAAACCAGATACAGTGTCATGCAATCATGCAAGTCCAAAACGACCTGAGCCATTTAGTCCCCTTCAAGCACAGCTCACATTGCTGTGGACTTATGCTAACCCCTACTCCCTATGGTGGTGACATTTATGACCGCAAGACTGTCAATAGCTTCAACTGACGTAAAGAAATGAAAAACTTCTGTGAGTTTCCATGAGTGCCAGTTTTGATTTTACTTAATGGCTATGAGATCCCACCCACCTTGGTTATTCCTACAAATTTGTTGACCACTTGTAATGGAAAGTTTGACCTATAATTAGGCCACTTGCTGTAACCCTAGCTGTAAGCTGTAGTGGTAACACAAAGACCCTGTAATCCTCAAAGCATGAGTGATTCCACTCAGTGTCTGCACATTGTTGTGAGGTGGTCGGTGCTTCTAACAGTGCAGACATGAGTGCTAATAACATAGATCCTCATACATGCATATGTTGATTTAATATGATTTTTCCATGTTTAGATACACCAAGGTGGTGCCCATCATGGCGGAGGTCAAACCCAAGCTGGTTATGCTTTTCAAGGCAACTAAGGAGAAAGAAGAAGATAAGTTTGCTAAGGTAAGGTTGGGAATATTCTTCACAATGCTGTTTTGGCCAACTGTATATATACCTGCAGGGCTTGAAATAATAAAAATGAATAAGGTGTGCCCAAGGGCAGTACAGTGTGCCATTTTCAATTTAGGTGTCTAGCCTTGTCTACCGTATTTTCTTGAGTACCGTATTTTCTTGAGTATAGTGCGCACCCATGTATAATGCGCACCCCCCTCTAGCGGGTTCAATATTTTGGAAAAAAAGAAATTTGAATATTATGCGCAGAAAATTTTTACACCGTACCCTTTCAGCGAAGTCCGGCAAACGAACGGGTGCTGAGAAACTTCGTCAGTACAAATTCGAAATTTGAGATAAAAAATCACCAGACATGTTTATTTACCGTTTAAATAGTATTTATTGTTCTGCTAGGCATTGTTTTAAATTTAGGGATTAAGATTACCTTGCGTATTTTCTCGTAAACTAAGCTGGAAACAGCAATCAGCTGTACACACGTTTTCTTGGAATCGACCGGTGATTCGGTCAAGACCAGGGGTCCGGAAAATTTAAAATCCCAATCGGACATTTGCATTTAGGCCACGCCCCCTTCAAATAGCGTATTTTAGTACGACTTTTCACACACATTACAAGTTTACGTATTCATAATATGATGAATTATGAATTGTTTCAATTTAAATTGTTTAATTTACCGGACAATTAATAACAAATAATATCATTTTAGATTTACATGGAAAAAATACGTTTGTTTCTGTTATAATAACGATCTGTTAACGTAGTGAACGGTCTAATTAATATTCATGAGTTATATTCATGAGTCTGCTCAAGTGTACGCGTTGTAACATTTGGATCGAGACTATTATCCCATATTTGGTTATCACGTGACCTCACGGGAAAAGGGTTTTTTTTAAACTAAAGATTTTTTTAAAAACAAGACAGATATTTTAATCACAAATACTAAAATATCGTTGATAGCAATAGTTATTTGAATACTTTTTTCATCTGTACTTAATTATTGACCATAAAAAAATTGGATATCGATCGTCCGAGAAAGCAAAATGGCGGTCAATCAAGATTCAATATACGACTAGCTACTGAAAACAATAAAATCTGCAAATCCTCATTGTTTGGCAGATCCGCCCGACTGATCTGCATCGGTCGACTGGCTGTCGTCACGCTTTCGCTTCTTGTCTGAGGTTACGTATCGTAGCATTGTGAGGATAATGAGGTACATCGATGATGCAAAGTATTAATGTACAGTTGTAAACACCTTTCACTCAAATTAACAAGATGTTCTCAGTAATTAATCCTCGATTAATCAGTGTCAACTCAGTTTATTGCCTATTACAGTGATTGACAGATTGGACTATCATGTATTTACAGCAATCAAAACAAACAAAGCTTGTCAGTGTAGTTAATCTTCATTGTGTTGCAACTGCAGACAGAATCAGTCCTAACTGTTGATCATGTCCGGTCAAAATTTAAGAATGTCCGGACAATACTTTTTAAAATGTCCGGTAAGCAATATTTTAAAACGGACATTTGAGATTCCCAATCGGACATGTCCGGCGCATATGACGGTTTCCGGACCCCTGGTCAAGACACACCCAATGATGTAACTTTATAAGATTTTTTAATGCAAGGATCGGCAACAATTGTATCTGAAACTATTTTATTTATCAGGAATAATATATTCCATTATTTTCTTAATTATTTGCAACCTTTACTAAACATATTTAAAATAATAATAACAAGCGAAGCAGCTGATCGCCATTCCCGGGTATTATTTTTTACATGGAACATGTCTGACCAGTCACCGTCAAGGCTCACGCGCACGTGATCACGTGATCGCGAGAATTTCATGTTGACATAGAATCGTCAAACAAAAACAAATATGACTTTTAACGAGTCAAAGTATGTCATTTACCGGTATGATATATGTATCCATTCTCTGTCAACTAAAGTTTGTTTCAAGGCGTCAATAGCGGTATTCTGACCATGGTTGCTGTTAATAACGGTGAGTTGTGCGATCTTCCGATCGTTTCACACACGATTTCGCCGAAATTAATAAAAACAATATTATAAGGAATTTTGAATAAAATCAATGAAATAAGTTACAAACATCAGTCCAGATATACAAAGAACACTTTTTATAGCCAGACAGTGTAATTACATAATTATTTTGCGTACTTCAGTATGGATTTGTTGACATGGTATTCCCGGTGTTTCGTGCTCACGGTAATGTCTTTCCATGGGGGAAAAAAACATCCAAACTCATAATTTGTGTATAATGCGCACCCCCTTCTACACAGCTGTGTTTTTTCGAAAAAAAGTGCGCACTATACTCAAGAAAATACGGTATAGTGCGCACCCATGTATAATGCCCACCCCCCTCTAGCAGATTCAATATTTTGGAAAAAAACACATTCGAATACCAAGCGCAGATTTTTTTTTACACCGTACCCCTTTAGCGAAGTCCAGCAACTGAAGGGTGATGAGAAACTTGGTCAGTACAAATTCAAAATTTGAGATAAAAAATCACCAGACATGTTGATTTACCGTTTAATAATGAAATAAGTTACAAACATAAGTCCAGATATACAAAGAACACTTTTTATAGCCAGACAGTGTAATTACAAGATTAATTTGCGTACTTCAGTATGGATTTGTTGACATGGTATTTCCGGTGTTACATGCTCACGGTATTGTCTTTCCATGGGGGAAAAACATCAAAACTCATTCGTGTATAATGCGCACCCCCTTCTACACAGCTGTGTTTTTTTGGAAAAAAAGTGCGCACTATACTCAAGAAAATACAGTATATTACCCAATAATTACAACAAAAGGCAGCTAATCCATTAGATCCAAACTTTTAATGACATAAACATTGTTATATTGTCTAGACAAACAGGGAGATAATCACATGAGTACAATACACACTGATATACTTACTCAGTTATTTCATAATGATGATTGACTTTTTACATTCAGACATTCTCAGGTATATTTTCATTCAGACATTCTCAGGTATATTTTCTATTTCAATTTTAGCACTAGCACCAGCACTGACACTAGTAATTTCAAGCCCAGAGCTGGCATATGTCCAATGTTCAATTTGAAGAAAACTTTGTTTTGACATCATGAAACATAGTGAACAAGTTGTATTTATATATATACTAAGAGTGCAACAATACATTGTAGTAGTGAAGAATTGCAATATGACATGTCACAATATGTATAGGGATATGTTTTGACAAGGATTGAGATTTGGCAATAATTACACAGCTACCACAGGTTCCCTACTATTACTATATTCATTGCTCTGTGAAGTAATAAGAAGCTCTCGATGTGGAAGAGTCGCAGTTTGCGCTATACTGTCTGTGTGTCTAAACATAAAAATTCACGCTAGTCCACTAGCCCGAGGCTGCTAAATTGTGCTGATGTAAAAGTAAATTTTTTACTTATCCTGCATTACTCCTTAATGCATCTACTGTGTACCTTATTACAGAAACAGAGCTGTGAGATGGTCTTTGGCTGAAGAAGAAAAGTTGTTCTCAACAAATCTACTGTCAACCAACCTCGCACAGCTGCCACGTGATCAACTGATGCGATGCACTTACGGTTGGGCGTTACCTACTGTTCTTGTGATGATCGACATACCTTTGCCGTCCCCACGCACCAAGTTCCTTACCTCTCTCAAACTTTCAGGCGTCACTGGCCTCCACTGCGACGGTAAAACTGGATCGGTCTGGCGGATGCATTTGTACTAAATGTACTACGCTACGGATACCACCTTGATGTAGTGGTAGACCCACGACCACGGCTCCACCTCCTTGGCTCCACTCAAGAAAGCAACGTCAGGTACTGGGAACTGACATAGACATCTGGTTGGAAACCATAGAGATTGTATTCTCACCAGCATTGACAACAGGCTTTTGTTCTCTTTCAAGTACCCAAGAAGGACAAGATGTTGAAGATTCACAAACTCTCTGTGTTCAACAAGCGCTACTGATGGAGTGTCAGCCATACGACCTTGAGACTGCTCAGGACCAGTATCAACACTTACGATTCCCTGATCAGTCTCCACCTGCAGGATGCTTACCTGCAATTACCAATCTATCCTTCTGACTACAGACAGGTTCCAGTTCAATAATACATCTCTCTACCTTATCAGAGGACACACCTCAGTCAGTGGATGATAGAGCCTAATGTTTTAGGAAGCATCTCCCTAACCCCTAGGCTAACCCCTACACTACACCTGTTCATAGACACCTCTCTACAGGGGTTGGGTGCTCATTTACAGGGCCAGACAGCCTTTGGGCTGTTGTCCGGCACACAACGCACTTTTCACATCAACAAGCTCGTGTTGGAGGTGCTCATTCTGGCAATATCACATTGGCAGGAACGTCTATGGAACACTCAACTTGCAATCTCTACCAACAACAGCACTATGGTTTGGTGTCTGCGCAACCAAGGGAAAACACACTCTCACTCCCTGGTGCTACAGACGTTTAGGTTCTTTCATCCCGTGGATTGAATGGGTCTACAATATCTATTCCAGCACATCCCCAGATGTCGGAATATTCTTGCAGTTGAATTATCCAGACCAGACAGGGTGGCTCCCACAGTGGAAACTCCATCCAGAGGCTTGCATCAAACTAATAGCGACCTCTTCGCCACACATCAGAACCACCAGCTAATGATGTATGTCTCACTGATCCCAGATCCACAGGCTTAGCCCTGGGAAGGGCTAAAACAAAAAGCATACACTTTTCTGCCTCCTGTTCTACATAAAATAAAGGCAACCATGAGCCTCTCTCTGATTTTGACTGCACCCAGGTGACCTCAGAAATCGCACAGAAAACAATCCACTACCAGTGGCAAAGTGGTCGAACCTACTTATCCACCCTCACAGCAAACTGCTCCACCCAATGCCAGGCAGATTTTGTCTGCACGCTTGGTTCATCTTTAAAGAGCACTAAGTGCTAAAGGCTATTCGGCTCAGGCAGCTA